AACCCTGCTGAAATCGATACTCCGATTGTAGGTTCTTGACTAGCCGCCATAACTGACGTCAAAATGATTCTCGAAGCATATCTTGTTGCGGTAGATGTCGTACCTGCTACCCCAAAACATACAAAAAATTCAATGCGACTATAAACAGAATATTATTACCGGAAAAGAAAAGGGAGAGTGAAATGGCCATTTCTGGCTTATCAACCGTCGTCAGCCAGTCATTCCCAACGCCGAAGTGTGGAACAATCTCCCTTGGCTTTTTCGGTAATACCATTTTGTCTATAACATGCACCGCTACACGGCTGCTGGTTGGGCTCGAGAGGGAGAGCCCGTAAGGCACAACGGACCGAATAAGTTCCGTCCGAACAATCGGTAAGCGTCTCTCTACCACACCGTTTATTATTCACATAATAACATTTGTTAAGAACGGCTTGCACGTTTCAGAAAAAACTGCCCACCTGACTTGTAGTACCAAAGCATTATGGCTGACCATAAGGGCACCGGGCTCTCAAAGTCTCGATATCTTGACAGTATATCGCCCCCCGAGAAATGACCCTGACGCTGATGCCCAACTGCTGGAGGAGCTCAGATTATTTTCAACGCGACCGACTACTCTCATCGTTGGAGATTTTCATGCACCTCACATCGACTGGAGCTCGGACTCAGCCGACTGCTCTGAAGCAGCATTTGACCAGCAGCTACTGCGTACCTCCGACAACCTGCTTCTCACACAACACGTAATGTTTCCAACTAGAGTTCGAGAGGGCCAACAGATGAACTGCCTCGATCTTGTGTTCACCAAGTCGTCTGACAACATCGACGTTGTGAATTGCCTCCCCCCGTTGGGTCAGAGTGACCATGTAGTTCTCATGTAGGAATACACGTTATTCTCCCTTCCTACACAACCGCTCGATTCCCGACCTAATATTTGGCGCGGCGATTTCGAAAAGATGAAAAAGGATCTTAGTCCTATCGACTGGGCATCCACTCTCTCCGGCGATGTCGAAAAGGTTTGGTGTAAGTTCAAAGAGTTAGTCCACAAGCTCATCTCCAACCACTGCCCAATCATGCGCAAAAGACTAACAAATAGACCTCGCTGGTTGACTCCGTCCTTAAAGAAGGAAGTTAACAAGAAGAGGAAGCTATGGAAAAGATCGCTGACTGACCGCACGCCAGAATCCCTAAGCAGTTATAAGTTACAGAGAAATCGGGTCAAAATTCTCATCGCCAGAGATAGGAAAGCTTTTGAAAAGAATCTTTTGAACCGTGCCATGGTTAATCCAAAAATCCTTTACAGCTACATAAGACAGAGCACACGGAACAAAGACCCTGTCCCATTGCTGCGAACGGCTGAGGGTGTGGAAATCTCCGATGACAAGGATAAGGCTGAACATCTCTCTCAGTTCTTCCGGTCAGTCGTGACAAGTGAACCTGCTTTTTCCTCACCCGCTTATGAAGACGATGAAACGCCGACCCTCGAAGCCGTCTTCTTCACCGAAACAATTGCTCGAAATGAGTTACTTAATCTAAAAGAATTGACCTACCCAGGCCCTGATGCAATTCTGGCCAAGCTGCTGAAGGAGCTAGCTCCCAAAATGTCCAAGCCGTTAGTCTTGATCTTCCAAACGTCAGTTGTTACTGGATGCCTGCCCTCTGATTGGAAGTCCGCTACCGTCACTCCGCTTTTTAAGGGTGGAAGTCGTGCGTGTGCGAATAAATACAGACCAATGAGTCTTACCTCCATCTGTTGCAAAATCATGGAGAAGATCATTAAGAAGGCCTTGATGCAGTTCCTCGAGCAGCACTACCTCGTTTCTGATGCCCAGCACAGCTTTCGAAGTGGTAGGTCCCGCCTCATGAATCTGCTCTTTACGCTCGAACACTGGACCAAAGAACGCGATGAAGGTTATGTGGTGCACGCCATCTACATCGACTTCAAAAAGGCCTTCGACAGCGTTCCTCACCAACGTCTCTTGTGCAAACTGCGTAACGTGGACGCCTTCTTGTATGGATTCAGGGCTTTTTGGCTGGACGGTCCCAAAGAGTGCAGGTCGGGCGTCAACAGTCCTCCGATGTAAGCTTTGTGAGTGGCGTCCCACAGGGCTCAGTCTTAGGTCCCATGTTATTCCTCGTTTTCATAAATGACTGCGTCAAGGACCTAGACTGTGATGCCATCCCGTTTACCGACGGCATAAAATTGTGGAAAGTTACTCACAATGCGGCAGACGCAGACCACCTGCAAGCAAACTTGAACAGGCTCGAAGACTGGTCGAAGCGCTGGCTTATGCCCTTCAATATAAGCAAATGCAACTTTCTTCAACTCGGCAGCTTCAGAGACCCCAGCTACAGGACCTACTTTCTACACGGCACACCATTGCAACAGGTTGACAGTCAGAAGTTCCTGGGTGTATGGATTACATCTTCACTCAAACCAACACTGCACTGCGCGAAGGCGGCTAAATCGGCTACGGCCACATTGCGACTCATTAGGCGAGCATTTATGGGATTTGACCCTGACTGCTTTTCCAAAATATTTGGCACCTTCGTGCGACCTCATCTAGAATACGCCATACAGGCGTGGAGACCCTGGACTGCCAAGGATTATACTGTCTTGGAGAAGGTCCAGAGACGGGCGACCAAAATGACACAAGGTCTGGGAGCACTGGCCTATGAAACCAGACTGTCAATCCTAAACCTGTTTCCCCTTTCCTACAGGCAATTACGTGGTGACCTTATACTAACATTTTGCATTGTCAACGGCCTAGACTGTTGTTTAGTTCCCACTGATTATTTCACCCAAGCTAACACGCCCAATTTGCGCGGTCATCCCCTAAAACTACGCGCAGGGAAATCAAGAACCAATGGACGAAAGTCCTTTTTCAGTAACAGAGTGGTTGCAGCCTGGAATTCCCTACCTACCGATGTTGTAACCTCCTCCTGTGTGAACTCCTTCAAGTGTAGACTTGACCTGCATCAAGCTTCCCAATTACCACCCCCACATCCACTCACATAACCCGGTACTATCTTATACGTGTTTATACTACTTGTAATTAGTAAGTAACCATTAATGATTACTGTTTTTCGACTAGCTGCCAGCTGTCCGCGAGTATGTACAAAATACATTTTTTACCTTCCCATTTATCAATGTTTTTCTCCGACGACTTGTAACCAAGAGGGAATTCAAAGGCGCTTGTCTATATTTCCCTTAATAAACTGATACTGATACATTTCCTGTTGCTTGAAATTTCTTTCCCTTTATGACTTAATTTAAACTTACCGGCGGCGGTTTATGCGGGGCCTGTTATAGTTTGGAAATTGCTTTTTGCCTTCTTTTTAATTATCGCTCTTAATTTGTTGCCGAATGAAAGTTTACGATATGACTCTCGGCAGAACTTTATTTTGCTATGTCTTCTTGCGCTCTGTTCTACATGTTGCCCTACCCGTGAAACCTAGGACACGGTCCACAGGCCAGCTCAAGTTCGTTAGGATCCTACGCCCTACGTTGCCGGATATATAAGCGCAAGCTTCATTAGAAGACTATTTTCAAAAGTTGTTTCGTTCTTACTATTTTATTTAGTTTGTTTGCGCACGGACGGACTTTCTGTAGGCTTACTCACAGTAGATGTGCTAACTCATGAAATGCAATAAAAATTTCGAAATACGTTCTCGTTTTGAAAAGATAAATAAAGTAGTGTTGTAAAACTAATCATGATGCAGCATAAATTTATAATGATCCAGTTAACTCAGGGTGTCAGATTTCAAAAGAACTTATTCTCGGCTGCATGCAAAATCTATACTCTGCAAAAAATGACTACTTACTTAGTATGCAATTTTCTCATTTTTTTCCATGCCCTTGAAAATTGAATTACATTTCATGGAAAACATGCATAAAAATATTCATTCTGTTACTTATTCGGTAGAAAATCACGTCTTCTATCAATTTCAGTCTCAAAAGAAGAGTATAATTCGGTTTGAAAAGTTTCTAATTGTGAAATTTTTTAATACCACTAAATGGCCGTTCATGAAACTTCATGTATCTGCATTTACAAATGTGGCTTGTAAAGTTAACAATATTGCTCAAATCCACTGCTTAATTTTATGAATTGCATATTGTCTCCTCTTAACACCGTAGAGAATTGCATGGTTTTCCATACACGGAAACTATAGAGTTTGTAGTTTTGAATCCTTGAATGCAAGTGTAACAGCAGGCCGGGTTCAAAATTATTCGGGAATTAGAAAAGTTTTTTAAAACCGACTTATACACTTTTTTGAGTATGAAATTGGTAGAAGACGTGGTTTTCTACGGAAAAAGTAAAAGAATAAATATTTATATGCATGTTTTCCATGACACATAATTGAATTTTCAAGGGCATCGAAAATCAATGAGAAAATTGCATACAAAGTACGTAGTCATTTTTTGCAGAGTATAGATCTTGCATGCAGCCGAAAATAATTTCTTTCGAAAGCCGACACTCTGAGGTAACTGAATCATTATAGATTTATGCTGCAGCACGATTAGTTCAACAACACTACTTAATTTATCTTTTCGAAACGAGAACAAATTTCGAAATTGTTGTTGCACTTCATGAGTTAGCAAATCTACTGTAACCGCAGTAGTTTCTGACGTTTGCGGAATTTCTTGCATTTCAAAATGTTGGTCTTTTAAAACACATTAATAAGCTTTCGATTAATTTAAGGTTTTTTGTTATTATTTCAAAGTTTTAGTCCATTCGTCTATACCGGTTCGCAACTGATTAGCGACCTTTCGTAGATTTGGCAATTTTTATATTATAGGTCACATACTGCATTTGCTTATCACTTCATTGTAGACTTTCACCTGCTTGGCGGTCAAATAATTCCTAATCGGCTGTATAATGCGCTTTTTGGTAAATTTTGGTGCATATATTAGATGAGATCAGCCTAAATACACGAGAATAACCTCCGCATGAGCAGCAAATGTTAACGAAAAAAACACGAGCATACGTTCCAGACTGAAAAACCTACTTGCTCGCCCCTGATACACTGGAACGGCGAGCTTGAGCACTGTCCACAGATGACATAACGCGGAGGTGACTACGTCCAAGGAAGTGGCAGATTTTAAGGACACCTCGTTTGAGGGCCTTATCGTCAGCAAAGGTGACAAAACCGAAGCCAAGTGATTCGCCGGTAAGTAAATCGCGTACTATCCTAACCTCCTTGATGCTGCCAAATTGGGAGAAATAGGCTGTGAGTTCGGATTCAGTGACCGCTGATTGTAAACCGCCCACACGTATGGTCAACTGGTCGGGGGAGTCGTCTACGACTGACTTGTCTTCCTCACTGAGAGAACAATCATCGTCCTCTTCGTCGGAATCCGAGACGTGGCAGACCGAGGATCTGTGAGGTAAAATAACAATATTGAGATGGTCAAAGTTTGTTCCAGCGAGGTCCAACATGAATCTCACTCGTGGTTTCTGTCGCTCATCTCTTACCCCAGTCTTCCGTATAAATTACCCGAAAAAATAAAAAATAATAATTGCATTAGAAGAGGCATAACATTGTACGCACTACTCACCGGACTTTTGGCTACTTGGAGCCAGATGAGACCTTATGCAGACCCGGGATGGGCCTTATTGACCAGGCAACGAGACATCGACTGGAAATTTGACCGCAACAAAGTGAAGTACAGTAGGTGGGCTAACTCATGAAATCTCAACAGAAATTCCGAAATGCGTTCTCATTCCCAAAAGATTAATTAAGTAGGGCTGTAAAACCAACCACCGTAAACCATTATTCTAAAATAATTCAGTTACCGACGGACGCCATCTTTCAAAGAAACGTCTTGCTGGCTGAATCTAAAGACCGTACTCCGTAAAAAATGACTACTTAATTAGCATGCATTTTTTTAATTGATTTTCAATGTCCTTAAAGATTCAATTATATTTCATGAAAAATATGCGCAAAATATTCACTCCTTTTTTCCTTCAATAGAATATTACATCTTCTTTCAATCTTACACTCGAAGGAAGGGTATAATTAGGTTTTAAAAAAGTTTCCAATTTTGAGCTATTTAATACCGTGAAATGGCCCTTCATAAAACATCATATCTCTGCATTTACCGGCGTGGCTTATAAAGTTAACAATGTGACTCAGATCCACTGCTTCATTTTATGAACCGCATATGGTCTCTAGCGCAGAGGAATGTATAATTTCCGTACACGGAAATTATACGTCTTGTAGTTTGGGAACCGTGAATGCAGGTGTAACGGCAGGTCAGGATCAAAATTATTCGGAAATTGGAAAAGTTTTATAAAGCCAAACTACATACTACTTTGGCGTGTAAAATTCTGTTATCTCAGAATATCTGCTTTCTAATGAATTTCTTTCCGGCTGCATGCAAAACTACACTCGGCCGTTCGCAGCAGTGGGATAGGATCGTTGTTCCTTGTGCTCTGTCTTAGGTAGCTGTAAAGGGCTTTGGGATTAACCATGGCACGGTTCAAAAGATCCTTTTCAAGGGCTTTCTGATCTCTGGCGATGAGATTTTTCACCCGATTTCTCTGTAACTAGTAACTTCTTAGGGATTCAGGCGTCCGATCAGACAGGGATCTTCTCCATAGCCTCCAACCCAGAAGTGTGGAACACGTCTATACTAATTCAGTTATTTCAGAATGCCGGCTTTCGAATGAATGTCTTTCCGGCTGCATGAAAAACTGCACTCTTTAAAAAATGGCTACTTATGTAGCATGCATTCTTCTCATTGATTTTCGATGCTCTCAAATGTTCAATCATATTTCATTGAAACATGCATTAAAATGTTCACTCTTTTGCTCATTCAGTGGAAAACGGCGTTTTCTTCTTATTTTATACTCGAAGGAAGGGTACAATTTGGTTTTCAAAAACGTCAACAAATCGCGAAAAATTTTGAACCCGATCTGCCGCTGCACTTGCATTCAGGGTTGCCAAACTACAAACCATATATTTTTCGCGTACGGAAAACCCTACATTTCTCTGCGTTATTAAGTGGAGACCAAATGGGGTTCGAAAATTTCAGCCATGGATTTGAGCTTTTCTGCTAACTTAATAAGTAACATTGGTGAATGCAAAGGCATGACGTTTTATGAACGGCCATTTCACGTTATTAAATAAACCTCAAAATTAGAAACTTTTTTAAAACCGAATTATACCCTTCCTTCAAACATAAACTTGGAATACGTAATAATCTACAGAATAAGTAAGAGAATGAATATTTTTATGCACCCTTTAATAAAATATTGTTTAATTTTTAAAGCCATCGAAAATCAATGAGAAAATTGCATGCTAAATAAGTAGCCTTTTGTTAAAGACTTTTGCACGCAGCTGGAAAGACATTCATTCGAAATCCGGCATTTTGAGATAACGGAATTATTATAGAAGTGTTCCACACTTCGGGGTTGGAAGCTATGGAGAAGATCCCTGACTGACCGGGCACCTGAATCCCTAAGAAGTTACAAGTTACAGAGATATCGGGTCAAAATTCCCATCGCCAGAGATCGGAAAGCCCTTGAAAAGGATCTTTTGAACCGTGCCATGGTTAATCCCAAAGTCCTTTACAGCTGCCTAAGACAGAGCTTAGGGAACAAAGATTCCATCCCACTAATGCGAACGGCCGAGTGAACGGAAATCTCCGAGGACAAGGATAAGACTAGATATCTCTCTGATTTCTTCCGGTTCGTCGTGACAAGTGAACCTGATTTTCTCGTACTCATTTGTGAAGACGAAGAAACGTTTACCCTCGAAGTCATCTTCTTCACCGAAACAATTGCTCGAAATGAGTTACTTAATCTAAAAGAATTGACCTACCCAGGCCCTGATGCAATTCTGGCCAAGCTGCTGAAGGAGCTAGCTCCCAAAATGTCCAAGCCGTTAGTCTTGATCTTCCAAACGTCAGTTGTTACTGGATGCCTGCCCTCTGATTGGAAGTCCGCTACCGTCACTCCGCTTTTTAAGGGTGGAAGTCGTGCGTGTGCGAATAAATACAGACCAATGAGTCTTACCTCCATCTGTTGCAAAATCATGGAGAAGATCATTAAGAAGGCCTTGATGCAGTTCCTCGAGCAGCACTACCTCGTTTCTGATGCCCAGCACAGCTTTCGAAGTGGTAGGTCCCGCCTCATGAATCTGCTCTTTACGCTCGAACACTGGACCAAAGAACGCGATGAAGGTTATGTGGTGCACGCCATCTACATCGACTTCAAAAAGGCCTTCGACAGCGTTCCTCACCAACGTCTCTTGTGCAAACTGCGTAACGTGGACGCCTTCTTGTATGGATTCAGGGCTTTTTGGCTGGACGGTCCCAAAGAGTGCAGGTCGGGCGTCAACAGTCCTCCGATGTAAGCTTTGTGAGTGGCGTCCCACAGGGCTCAGTCTTAGGTCCCATGTTATTCCTCGTTTTCATAAATGACTGCGTCAAGGACCTAGACTGTGATGCCATCCCGTTTACCGACGGCATAAAATTGTGGAAAGTTACTCACAATGCGGCAGACGCAGACCACCTGCAAGCAAACTTGAACAGGCTCGAAGACTGGTCGAAGCGCTGGCTTATGCCCTTCAATATAAGCAAATGCAACTTTCTTCAACTCGGCAGCTTCAGAGACCCCAGCTACAGGACCTACTTTCTACACGGCACACCATTGCAACAGGTTGACAGTCAGAAGGACCTGGGTGTATGGATTACATCTTCACTCAAACCAACACTGCACTGCGCGAAGGCGGCTAAATCGGCTACGGCCACATTGCGACTCATTAGGCGAGCATTTATGGGATTTGACCCTGACTGCTTTTCCAAAATATTTGGCACCTTCGTGCGACCTCATCTAGAATACGCCATACGTGGAGACCCTGGACTGCCAAGGATTATACTGTCTTGGAGAAGGTCCAGAGACGGGCGACCAAAGTGACACAAGGTCTGGGAGCACTGCCCTATGAAACCAGACTGTCAATCCTAAACCTGTTTCCCCTTTCCAACAGGCAATTGCGTGGTGACCTTATACTAACATTTTGCATTGTCAACGGCCTAGACTGTTGTTTAGTTCCCACTGATTATTTCACCCAAGCTAACACGCCCAATTTGCGCGGTCATCCCCTAAAACTACGCGCAGGGAAAGCAAGGATCAAAGAACGAAAATTCTTTTTCAGTAACAGAGTGTTTGCAGCGTGGAATTCCCTGCCTACCGATGTTGCAATCTCCTCCTTTAAGTGTAGAATTGACGCGTATCAAGCTTCCCAATAACGAGCCTCACGTCCACTCATATAAAATGGCACAAATAGTGTAGCCGTTAATGATTACTATTTTGACTAGCTGTCAGCTGTTCGCGATTGTGTACAAAATCTCCTTTTTCACCTTCCCACTTATTAAAGTTTTTCTCCCACGACTTGTAACCAATAGGGAGTTCAAAGACGCTCGCATATATTTCCCTTAATAAACTGAAAATGAGAGTGAAGTAAGTTGACTGTCCAGGCAGGATTTCCTAAGTAATTCACCCACAATTCACCAGATTACAACCAGGCTTACGTGACTAATATATGTTTGATTTGGAATTATTCGAAATCTGCCAAAACGTCTATAGATTGTCTAATTATCTTTGAATGCTCCCAAAGTCTGACGACAAGCTTAAGGGTCAGTCTCGACAGGTTGCTCGTTAAAGGTCTTATTTTTCCTAAATATAACATTTCAGAACTTGACATCTTGAGGATCCTACTTAAAATTGGCCAAAGTTCCTCAGAAACGAAATAACTTTCATCAAGCAAGTTTACGAAATAGTACCCCAACGCATCGTCAAACAAGTGAAAAATATACACAAAGCAGTTTGCACTAAACAGAAACTAACGAAAGACTTTGTCGTTGGTGGTCCTTTATGCCAATAGGCATTCCCCTTTTTTCAGTTCCCTGTTCGGTTTTGGCTGTGCCAGTCTTTAATCGACCCCGAGAAAATAATGTCAGTGACATCTAACCCGATATATCTGTTAATAAATGTCTCGTCTGATGACATTGGTTTCAGAAGCTCGAGGTCATTCTTCGTTGGGCAGGCGCGAAAATGTGGCTTTTCTTCAGTGAAATGCGTTCAGTTTTGCATAGCATCTCGCGGTAAATTGTCGCGTTCCATTAGACTGTCTGGTGTTCATGCACGCGGGTCGATAGGAATTCTTTAATTCGGCTACCAAAATCAGTGCATTGTACTTTTCAGACGATTTCTTTTATGTTGTCATTTCAGCCTTACAGGCAAGTTACGTAAACATCTTTTACATCGTAATTCGAACCAGGGTTAAAAAAAACATGCATAGTCAATACAGAGGATTGGCCTATTAGCCAATCCTGCTTACTAAAAAACGCCTCTGCTAAGACGCATTTTTTACTGTTTGTATTGAGAGACATGTATGGAAGCCTACTGCCCGATCGTTACACAATTCTGTGCCTGAGAGAGATGCACTTGTCTGAAAACCAGAATCTCACCCTTTCCGGCACAAAACATTTTTCCTTGCCATACAAACAACGATTCGATTCTCGCCTAGTTGGTGGGGTTGGGTCTCAAGCACCCTTCTCACAGACTCCGTTTCAAGGAAAGTGACGAATCCACAGAGGATGGAATCTGGTCCCAGCTTGTTCTTTGGCACTAGGATTCCTGTGATTGGACCGAATTTGGAGAAGTACTCATGCACGTCACATGGCGCTGTAGCCTCGGGCAGAAGCTTAACGAAGATTTCGTTTGGATTCAGATCCCAATTCGCTTCAGCATATCTAAACAAAGAAAAAAAAGAAAAGATAAATGGATTCGCACAATTAGTCGACCAAACGTGTTATTTCTAAGCGCCGCTACAGGCCAAATTGTGACAATAACGTCTGGACAGGTAAAGTAAATTTATAGTTGTTGCGCTCAGGACAAGTAACACATGCAGGCATAGTCACTGTTATCAAATTAGAAAGGCCAATTTGTATAAAATCAAAAATAGAGAAAAGGGGAGAAAAAATCCTCCTTTTGAAATTATCTTCCAAAATTTTCGGCAAAAACGTTTTCTATTTCCCGTGAATAGATATGTTTGCCCGAAACACATACCACGAAAGGATTGAAAATGCAACATATTAGCCACAAAATATAACTATCGACATCACTGACAATCGTTAGTGAATTCGATAAAGAAATTACGTCAGATTGTATGTACTTCGAAACGGCGCTAACGCAATGTATATATGGCCTTAAGATTTTAATTCAGGCAAACAAAGGGGATAAGAACCAGTATATTGCCAATAAAATAGGTTAACCTATGTATGGTTAAGACCAATCGTTTATGAATGAGGAGCGGTAAAACATCGTCGGCTCATATCCATTCTTGTATATTTTTTGTAGAAAGCAGTCATTTTGTGAGGATAGTGGAAGCTTTCTAAGCAAGCGGCCAAAAAGAAGAAAAAACGTTGTTCATGTAAATCTTAAAGCTGCCAGTGTCAATGAGGCAGTCTACAAAGGAGCCGCGCAGGAAGTCTCAAACCCAACACACCCGGAATGCCCAACCTTGTATTCGTAAATAGGCGTACTGCAGGCATTAGATGAGCGATATTTGTTCAAACTCGTGCAACGCTAGCGGAAGTCTTTGCTAACTTTTGAAACCGATTGTTTAAACGATGACCCCCAGGCCCCAGTCTCGGGCCAATAAACTTTCTCTTCAAACGACTAACTCCTCAGGTTTATCCTGTGAAATGCCTGGAACGGGTACGTTTTCTGAAATTGCGCAAACCAGACTTCTTGGTCATCAAAACGACAACTCATTGAAGCGAGCTTTCTTTCCTAAAACAGATTTTATGATATTAGACAGCGTTTAACCAACGTCGGTGCCTATTGAATGTTCACCATAATACCGTCTTAAATGACAAAGGTATTAAGTGTTCGCCCACCGCGTCAACCGAGCCGATAATTTGTGAATATAAGCATAATCTGATCGAGTTTCAGGAGTAGAAAATGACTTTCACAACAAAAGCCCAATTAGGCTGTTGTATGGATTATTAACTGAATAGGACAAACTCTATACAACTGCAACCCCCAATGCCAAAGCCAAGGAGTTAGATTCGTGAACCTGTTGGATGATCGCCTCATGGAAAAACTGTCCTAAAACAGACTCCTAAAGTGACCGACACAACATAGATATGCTTGAGAGTTTGGAAAGAAATTTGCGCGTGAAATAAAGGGCACATAAACAGACTTTTCAATTTTGAGCTATAAGACGTTTGTTGGCTCGTACATACTACCGCTACTAATAAAATAAACATATGATCCGCTTGGTCAGCAAAAAATATTTCCGCTGAGTCACTGGAGGATTTAACACTTACCCTTGCTTTACTGGTTCACTAGTCTGAGCTTCTATCGGAAGTCGTGCCAGTTGTTTCCTCACGTACCGCGAGTCAGAGGTCACCAGCGATAAGTCCTTGAAATGCAGGTGAATCTATTTCCCATCAGAAAAGAAAAACAAATATAAGACGTATCGACAAGACGATTTACCACTAGTAGAGGGCGTGTGGCAGTTCGCGTCTCCTTGCCCTCCGCCTGTGTCACGCTGCCTTTCTGTCCGCCTCACACTCCTTGTCGATATGCTGCTGGGACACGCGAGGCTTGTCACTAGCCTCGCGAGTGCCCCAGGCCAATCAGCGCCGTCCCCCCTCTGATTGGCTGGCGGACGCGGAGACAGCAAAAGGCACACATGCGCTGGGTCTCAGCACCTCGAAAGCGGGCACAGACAACAACAACTTTCCTGGAGAGCGCGCTCGCAGCGACGGCCTACAGAGCCTTTGTTTACGCACTTCCAAAACAGTAAAGGTTGTCCATCTCACTCCGTCTTCCCTGATTTTTGATTGGAAATCTTTGTCCTGTCGACCACACAACTTTTGACAGGCGCGCACCAAGCACGTTACGGAACTCACTCGTCCCGCTGTGTCTTGGAGTTCGCTCACGAGTCTCCATTACGCGCAGCATCTGGCGAGATCGAGAGGGAGCCCTGAGGCACTTTGGAATGAGTGACTTCCGTAACGCGATCGATGCGCACCCTTCTACCATAGTAAATACAGTAGGTGGGCTAACTCATGAAAAGTCAACCGAAATTCCGAAATGCGTTTTCGTTCCGAAAAGATTAATTAAGTAGGGTTGTAAAACTAGTCAGTCTGCAACATAATTATGTATTATTTCAGTCACCTCGGGATGCCGGCGTTCGAAAGAACTTCCTTCCGGCTGCATGCAAAAACTACACTGTGTAAAAATGACTACGTATATAGCATGAATTTTTATCGTTGATTTTCGATGCCCACAGAGGTCCAATTATATTTCATTGAAAATATGCATAAAAATATTCATTCGTTTTCCCATTTAGTAGACAATTCAGACATAATTCGGTTTTAAAAAAGTTTCTAATTGTGGGACTTTTAAATACCGTAAAATGACCGTTCATGAATCGTCATATATCTACATTTACCAATGTGGCTTGTAAAGTTAACAATATTGGTCAAATCCTTTGCTTAATTTTAAAAACCCTATGTGGACGCCTTTTATTACCGTAGAGAAATGTGTGGTTTTCCGTACGCGGAAAATATACAGCTTGTAGTATGGAAAACCTGAATCCAAGTGTGACGGTAGAGCGGGTTCAAAATTATTCGTGAATTGGAAAGCGTTTTTGAAACCGAATTATATCCCACCTTCGAGCATAAAATTAGTGGAAGGCGTAATTATCTACTGAATGAGCAAAATAATTAATACTTTTATGCATGTTTACCAAAAAATATAGTTGGACCTTTAGGGGCATCGAAAATCAGTGAGAAGCATTCATGCTACATAAGTAGTCAATTTTTGCAAAGCGTAGTTTTTGCATGCAGCCGAAAGGACGTTCATTAGAATGCCGGCATCCTAAAGTAATTGAAATATTATGGAATTGTGTTGTAGGCTGTTTAGTTTTACTACCCTACTTAGTTAAACTTTTCGAAGTAAAAATTCATTTCGGAATTTCGGTTGTCATTTCATGATTTAGCCCACCTACTGCATCCGCGATCGCAACCAACAGGAAAACGAGTCCGTAGTTCAATGATAAAGGCGTTGGATTTCTAGCCAACAGGTCACGCAACTGAATCCCAGGCGTTATACACCTCGAGGTTGGGGATGGCCTGATTTACCGCATTTAAGGCGGCGGGTATATCGGTTCCTGGTGGGATGCTTGCAAAGATGTCTTCAACTTAGCGACCGTAATATTTACACTAGTTGATCTGATCGCTTAATCAGAATTTATCAAACTTTCCCATGAAGAAATCGGCTAGGAGGTGTCCGAGCGGCGAGCCCATAGCAAGGCTACGTTCAGGCTCCGCTCACATCGTGGTCAAAACGACTATTCATACAACTCTCCGCGCAATTCCGCTCTCGTCCCGTTCTTAGCATTGATTGTCATTACCCCCCTCTATTTCCTCCCATATCCTCACACACCGCCTTTGTTGAATGCATTCGTCTATAGCCTCTACAAGACAAAATAATCGGACGTCGCCTTATCCAACGACATTTTCACCGAACAATGCTCCACTGCATCTCCAACTCGATTATACTGAACAAAGGCATAGGACATTTAAACAGTGCCGACGAGTGCACAAAGCGCACACTACCTTTCGTACTTGCGGCGCTATCCAAAACAATACGAGACCACATCCCAGCATGGCTGGGGAATGGTCAAATTAGGAGTACGAACAGCGCTTTTCTCGCGCATGGTGTTGATTCCGGACATCGCGTGGACACCAGCGAAGCTTTTCGCGTCTATTATAAGGTCCCGTCGAGCTACCCTAGGCTACTGGTCTATCAGCCGTTAACAAAGCAGAAGCGACAGCCATCGGGTTGCGAAAACCGATCTTTTGCACGCAGAATAACCACGTTCAGGCTCCCCACCTACCGTGGCCAAAAGCAGACTAACTATGTAACTCGCCGCGCGCTATCGCTCTTATCCTGCCCCTGACATTGACTTTGGAAACCTACCTCCCATGTTTTTCCACTCCGCCCGTGTTTTACGACGAACTCTGATTGATTTCTTTAACCCCTGCTTTCATTGTTTACCTTTCGCACCAACAGACAGTAGGTGAGCTGCCCCATGAAGTGTCAACTAAAATTCAGAAAGGCATTTTGTTTCGAAATGATTACTTAAGTATGGTTGTAAAACTAATCATTGTGCAGCGTAATTTTACAATAATGCAGTTACCTCAGGATCCCGGCTTTTGAACGAATTTTTTTCGGCCACACGCAATAACCACATTCTGAAAAAATGAATACTTTAAAAGCATGAACTGTTCTCATTGATTTTCGATGCACCTAAAAATTTAATTGTAGTTTAGAGAAAACCATGCACAATGCTATTCATTCTCATGCTCATTCGGGAGAAAATAACGTTTTCTTCCAATTTCATACTCGAAGGAAGCGCATAATTCGGTTTTCAAAAACTTTTCCAGTCCTTGAATAGTTTTGATCCCTGACCTGCCTTTACACCTGCATTCAGGGTTTTAAAACTACAAGCCGTATATTTTCCGCGCATGGAAAAACGTACGTTTCTCTACGGTATTAGGAGGACACCACATGGGATTCGTACAAATAAGCAGTAGACAGTTCCAACTCTACAAGCCACATTGGTGAATATTGAGGTATGGCGTTTCATTAACGGCCACTTCACGGTATTAAAAATCTCACAGTTAGAAAATTTTTAAAACCGATTTATGCTCTTCCTTCGAGTGTGCAATTGGGAGAAGACGTAATTCTCTACCAAATGAGCAAGGGAATGAATATCATGATAAATGGTTTTCGATGAAATATAATTATATTTTTAAGGGCGTCGAAAATCACTGAGAAACATATATGTCTTATTTTGCGGAGTACAGTTTTTGCATGCAGCCGGAAAAAGGTTCGTTCAAATCCAGCATTCTGCAATAACTGAATTATGCTGCATAGTGACTAGTTTTACAACCCTACTTACAGTAAGTGGGCTAACTGATGAAATGTCAAAAGAAATTACGAAATGCGTTTCCGTTTCGAAAAGATTAATTAAATGGGCTTGTAAAACAAATCATCGTGCAGCATAATTCTATAATAATTCAGTTACCTCAGGATGCCGGCTTTCAAACAAACTTTTTGGCTGCGTCTAAAAACCATACTCCGTAAAAATGATTACTTATGTAGCATGACGTTTTTCATAAATTTTCGATGTCCTTAAATATATTTTATGGAGAACATGCATAAGATATTCATTCTTTTGCTAATTTAGTAGAAAATTACGTCTTTTTTCAATTTTACACTCAAAAGAACGGCATAATTTGGTTTTATAATTTATTTTAATTACCAAATAATTTTCAACCCAACCTGCCGTTACACTTGCATTAAAAGTTTCAGAACTACAAGCCGTATAATTTCCGCGTATGGAAAACCATACACTTGTCTGCGGTTACAAAGGGGGACTATATAAAGTTCAAAAAATTAAGAGGGGGATTTGAACCACTTTGTCAACTTTAAAATCCACATTGGTAAAAGCAGAAACATGACGATTTTTGAACAGCCGTTTCACGGCATTAAAAATTCTCACAATTAGAAACTTTTTAAAACCGAATTATGCCCTTCTTTCGTGTTTAAATTGAAAGAAGATGTTACTTGCTACTGAATTAGCAAAAGAATGAATCTGTTCATGCATGTTTTCCATGAAATATAGTTGAATGTTTAAGGACATCAAAATTCAATGAAAAAAATACATGCTACATACATGGTCATTTTTTACGGAGTACGGTTGTTGGATGCAGCCAAAAAAGTTTGTTTGAAAGCCGGCGTTTTGCGGTAACTGAATTATTATAGAATTATGTTGCATGATGATTAGATTTACAACCCTACTTTAATAATTTTATCAAAACGGAAACGCATTTCGGAATTTCTGTTGACATTTCGTGAGTTAACCCACATACTGTAAGTTGTCTTCTCGAAACGAAAATGCATTTCGAAATTTCGGCCAACATTTCATGGGTTAGCCCATCTACTTTAAGGTTACCAGCCTTCGGGTTCACTTTCGTTAACTTTTAGACTTCCAGGACTACCTGCAGCCGGCTTATCGAGAACGTGCGATCAAGCACATGTTATTATTTGTTCACTGAATGGTGCACGTTGTGCGCCGGCTGTCGCGGATGGGTGGCATAAATGCTTGCCCGAGGATTGCCTGATCGTTCCAGATATGCTTGCAGTAAGTGGCTTATTCATTTTACCAGGAGTAAGAAACGATCTGCCGAATGTCTATGACTTCCCACCTACCCGTAGGGGAGCCTCTTCATGGAAACAAACACAGAACTGCTGGTTTTACTCAAATTTGGGACTAAAATCGGACTGTTGGAATTGTTATAAATATCAAGTTGGCGTGCGACCCCCATTAGTTGGGGTCGGAATACTGCACGATCCAATTCTGTGTCCACGCCAGCATGACTACTTCCGATGACGAACGTTGAGCGCCCCTCTTCCATTATTGGATACAAGCCTGCAGGACAACGAGCCCGTGGCTTAGAGGTTTGGACGGTGGGCTTCTAACCGACAGGTCGCGAGTTCAAACCTCGGGGTTGCACACCTCGGAGTTGAGTTCGACTAACTGACGATAGTTAAAAAGTCTGAAATGACAATTCCAGTCCCCCTTTCTCTTTTTCGTTAAATTATTTCGCCAGGGTGATTGCTCACTTGCATGCGTTATTATGTCTTTAGGTTCGATCAGTAAAAGAATGCGAAAACAATAATTTGATTATGCTAGGTTTTCGTGATTTTGGGTTTTCTTAAATATCAGTAATTAGCCCTAAGGTTTTTGGACCCAACTTGACTTTGGCGGGTACATTCGTCTATAACCTCAACATGACATAACAAACAGATGTCACTTTTTTCGGATCCTATTTCGTTGCCGTGCCTGCAGTAGACAAGTCCGAACCTAACGCCTAACCCCGACCGCTTATCCGTAACTGGTAGGATCTTATTTCGCAGTCGCACTTGGTAAAGGTTAGGGTTAGGGGTTAGTGTTAGGAATAAGCGTTGAGGATTAGAGACGTTTACGAATGGAATGAAAGACTATTATCTTGCAAAATTAACACGCATAGATGCCCAGTGTTTGCCAAGAAATATTATGCGCAATCAGTGGGAAATGCAAGCAAAAGATTACAAATATGCCAACCATATTGACTTACGATAAAAGTATTTTCAGGTCTAATTAACTTACCGATGCGAAATCTGGAGTTAAGTTTAATTTATCAAAGCCAGAATCTTCACAGCGTACTGCCGTCTGTTGCAAGTTCTTGACGCATTCAAGCAATTTTTTTGCTGACCGTTCCACTTCCTTCAAGGCAGTAGCGTTCTGAAAACGGAGAAGCGGTCTCTAGAGTAGGTCTCTGCAATACAATCATAAGGCAATACAGGGTGTTTGGCTAGAATCCAAGGTTGTTATGTGCATGAAACGGCAGTAGAAACTTAGGCAGACCATCGCACCCACACTAAACACCAATCACACTGAATGAGCTTTGATGGTACGTTTATGGCTGACGGTGCATAAGCCTCCAACATATCAGTCTAATTGAAGCGCGAGTCATGGCGTTCCCTGCCTCTCCTATGTCGGCCTGATAAAACAAATATCGTAGAACTCAGGTTTAAAGACTCTTCGGAAGTTACCATTTCCACAATGTTTGCCGCCTGAAGCAAGTCAGTCCGTCTTCGATTCAACTTCGCCAAGTTCCTTCGAAGTTTCTTTAACCTGCTGAGCTCCTTAGCATGGGTTGCCGCGACGGTCAGTTTGGTTCTTTCGAGAGAGTAGTAGGCCGCATAGTACAGTTCGTGATCAGCAGAGGTGATCTCGGTGAGGAGGTTTTCCTTGCAAGTAGCGGTGTCGTCCCTCATATTGCAAAGAGTGGTCTTCAGGGACTCAAGAAAAGTCCGTCCCGATGATAGACTAGCCAATCTTTTTATCGTTGTTTCGAGTGCCTGGGTGGTAAGCTGTAGGAAGGAAAACGTTTTTACAGCAGCATTAATCTTTGGTACCGAACGATTTGGTGACTGCTATACACATAAGTCTATAATTTTGTCTCGAAAACATGCCTACTTATTTTATTTAGGTAGACATGCTAAGTTGGGATGAGGTTGCATTTGGACCCAAGTATATTTTGAAGGTTTGGGCAAAGCTAAGGGTTAGTATTAAGGGTACGGTTGAGAAAGCCTGTTGCATACTGTCTTACCAAATTCAACCAACATTAACAAGTTACCTCGGATTAGCCGTTTGCCACCTGTTTACGGGCCCTTCATTCGCATCTTTCAAATTGCGCGGTCTGTTTCCACCCCTCGCCGAAGTATATGACCACACATATTGCAAAAATGGGAGTTTTGTTATTACCAACAAGGAAATAGGAAACTGGCTTAGTAGCCGTCGTCAGCTAGTCATAACGAAATATCGAATTGTGGAACAACTGGGGCTCGATCCCGCAACCTGTTTGTTAGAAGTCTAACGCCTCTGACCACTGGAGCACGGGCCCGTTGTCCTGTCGGTTGTAATTGGGAATATACAATGGTAGAGGACAACGGTTCGTGGAACAGTGGTTAGAGGCGTTGGACATCTGATTAACAGGACTTGACTTCTAGCCCAGATGTTCCACACTTCGGAGTTAGGTTTGACTGGCTGACGACGGCTAATAAGCCAGAAATGGCGATTCCAGTCTCCCTTGTCTTTGTCGTTTATACCATTCTGCCTATATCATTCGTCGCTGTGTGGCTGCTGGATGGGCTCGAGGGAGAGCCCGTAAAGCACAACGGGACGAGCGATTTTCTAAGAACGGTCGGTAGCGTCCCTCCACCAACGTGAGTTTTCTGAATGCCTTCCGCAGATTCCGTCGAGTGCCGCGTCAAACTGCCGTCTACTGACGTCATTACATATAACAGGAATCCCTGTGCTTCATTTTCGTAATGGACACACATATCTGGTCCTTGCCAACGAGTAAGACAAAAGCGATGGCTGAAGCTTTAGATACTCATGTCTAACTGACCGTTTCCAAATGTGTTCTTTCATGTTGAGAGGCACTGAAAATAGTACCATTCTGAAAAATGATACTTTGGCCAGTTGAAAATTTCCAAATTGGACCCGGATCAAAGACGAATTTTAGAAGAAGACACTGGTCTTTTTATCTGATTTTTTTAATCGTTCGAGTCAGTCTCCAGAAGGTTCTCTGGGAGGTCATACAGTCTGAAGCCATTCAAACGAATTTGCTAAACTGGATCGAGGCATATTAACGCCTCGCGAGCACAACAGCTTGGGTTTAGGACGGGTAGAGGTAGTTCCCTCACAGATGACTAGAAGTTATGGCCACTTGTTTGTTTTTTACTGTTTATCTGTGCTGCAAATTGCGACTTCCATTGCATTATACGACCGTCCACAACATGCTTGCAATTTATTCTGTCGTTTCCGCATGCATTTGTGGTAATTATCTCAATAAGTTTTTAACGTAGTTTTGAAAAAAAGCAAATTTTAACTCCTGGTGAGCTAATCTGTTTATAAAAAATAAGTAGGCTTTCTTAGATCATTAATTTCGACTGCCTGAAATGAATCGCGTGGTGTGAAGTAAATTCCACTTCGTTTCTGAAGGCTAGATTTTGAAAACAGTATTCGGAACCCCACGCTATCACGAAGTAAATTAAAAAGTACTTTTTGGTATACCACACTGACCTCTGACACTTGTACATTGTTATTCATTGGACAAATTGTTTTCGAAAGTTGATTTTGTGCTTGACATAACTTTTTAGGCTTCGGGCAGGACGAAGGCCGTTTTGGGGTAGACGACATCGTAGACGTTAATTGCTCTATGTCAATGACACGAGTCTCAGCACCGTCGAATGGGTACTAACCAGTTTTCTTGTTCGAATTTGCTGGCTCAAGACAGGATGTGTAAACGTACGTCACGGTGTTTGGCGTAGGATTTCTAAAAAAATTAAAAACAGAGGCAACATCCATGCATCGTTCCGGTTTTGGGTAAAATGAGAGGATTCCGAGTTTAAATGGTGAGGTGTAACAGGTTAATTCATCCTTAGTGAGAATCTCTGCGCAGCATGATACACGTATCTAGAAGTGGTCGTTTCCTTATGCCTGACTGCACGATTACCCCAAAAGTCTGTAGTGGGGCCGTCAGCCGGTTTTATTTGAGTGTATTGCGTAATGCGTAGTTTCATGCCCCTTAGAGCCTCAGGTCGGGATTGATAGAGTGTGATGTCACACAAATGACCACCACCGAATGGTGATTTCCAGCTTTGAACATATGAAGCACTATTTGTCCTGTAGTTCAGTTTCTTTGCATACTTTAATCAGAACTAGAACGAGCAAAATACTAAAAGTTTCAGTAAAATATCAGTATTTATGTGGGCGCTCTGCCGTGCATTTGTAATCGAAGAACCGAGTCTAAAAGCAAGCAAAAAGAGTGCAAATGGCCTCAATGTATAGAACAAAGCATGTTCTTACGTTTACGGTAAAAAAATGTTAGTACTATTCCGGAACGTGAGAGAAACAGTCAAAAATGTCAAATTTTTACATGGCCTCGTCGTGCAAAAATGCAAAGTACACAGAGATCCGTCAACTGAGTGCAGTAATAAAGCACTTCTTAACAAGGTAACTTATCAAGGAAAGTTTTCTTATTGATCGAAGGAATATTCGTTGCTTACTGTCGTTGTAGACAGCCATTTTTCTCGAAAATGACGTTTGATGTTTAAATGAGTACTCACATGTGACCCAAACGACCATCTCCGTGGAAAAGAGCGCCCGAACACTCAATAATTCGGTAAATGTCTTCAAGAATTATCTTATTTTAAAGTCCTCAACAGACAGGTAATTCAGACGATCGGGTGAAAACACTGACAATCATGAAGTATTCAGTAACATTTCGAGGCCGATCTGAAACTCAACGTAATCCCAAACAAAGGAAAAGTATAAATTTATTTAAAGGTAAAAATGTTCTCTCTATAAACACAAAATGGTATGTTTGCGATCACATCTGTCAGTTCTATTTAAAGTTATTAGGCACCGACTGGCCTCAAATCATGTCATCTTTGGAAAACTTTTGTTCCTACAATGTGTCCATCGGTGAACTCAAGAAAAATCCAGGTTCTCCTGTTAAGCTCCATCTCACTTAAGTCAAAAGGGTCAAGGATAACACGAAACCCTAAAAAATTATTTAAGAATCTACACCCATAATGTAGGAGTTGACAAACCGTCATCTATGAAATCATACTAATTTTTAAACGATATTTAGATATAAACTGGACTGAAACATTACTACTAGACGTCATTTTGTTTCTACTTTCCTATTTACTACGTTTTGGTATGAGAATACATTCTGCACATTAAAAAACGAAGTTTACTAAACAAGAGCCATTTCTGACATTTTGAGATATTGCGTTTTTCAAAATAAAACGGCATCTCTAAACAACTCAACACCGCCTTTAATATTTCTTATATTTTTAACTTCTTTTAAACTTGTTATTAATTACCATAGACATTGGACTCAGGAAATTGTGCCGTTTTGCGAGAGATTGACAATTATTCGTAAGTGTCGTCACATTTCATGAGTTCGGTCACTAACTGTACTTCCAACAAAGCAGGAAATGAAATGGAGTTCTCATGTTATTTGCCAATGCCAGCGAACATAGTACAGTTTGTGATCAGCAGAAGTGATCTCAGTGAGGAGGTTCTCCTTGCAGGTAGCGGAGTCATCTTCAGGTCTTCAGGGACTCAAGAGAAGCCCTTTGCGGCGGTTGGTTGGAAGAAGAAAACGTTTGTACAACAGCCTAAGTGTTTGATAGTGAACGATTTGGAGACTGCTGAATGCATAAGTCCACAATGGTGCCATTCCTAAGGGCTGCGTATTTGCCCCTACCTCCACCATTGTGCTGATTACATATTGTAAAGAGCGGCCGGAAGGTCGACAGAACATTGTTCAGTATTCAACCCAGGATCAGTGCCCACAACCGGGTGTTATTGGATGACAGAGCGTAAATATAACAACTGCGATTGTTGGTCCCTTTGCCTCCGGTTGCTCTAACTTCGGACTGAGCATTAACACGGAGTAGACTGCAGCCACGCATCAAGCCCTACCAAATAAGCTACATGTCGATTGCAACTGAAGCTAACTCGTAGCAGTGGACAAATTCGCATACCTAGAAAGTACAATTTAAAGGAATGTGACAGCTGAAGACGGAGTGGTCTACTGGATCCCCAAAGCCTGTCAGATCGTCAACTAGGCGTAGCCACTAGTCCGGAATCACTACGGACTTCAACTCAACATGAAACGCAAAATATACTGGGCGGTAGTCCAGTTGGCCCTGTTCTACGGCTGCCGCCACCTCCGACGGGTCTTCAAAGCCAATGGCTACCCGCGCAACATCGTCGACCGGTGCATACGCAAAAGGGACGAAAGGCCTAACCGTACGGACACCAAGTCTTGGCGGGCACTTCCGTATGTCAAGAACGTTTCGGAAGCTGTCGGCCGCCTTCTCGCACCACTTGGGTTTGGAGTGGCACGCAGACCGGATGCAACCATTAGGCGTCTGATCATGAAACCGAAAGACCCACTGCCACGGCTAGAAACGTCTGGGGTCGTTTATCGGATCTGGTGCAGTTGCGGACAAAGCAACTACGTCGGAGAAACCGGAAGACAGCTCCGAACGAGAATGGCCGAACACGCGGCAGCGGTGCGGAGAAATGACGCCAGCTCTCAAGTTGCGGCTCATTCGACGAGATCCGGCCACACATTTAAATTCGATGAGGCCGAAATTCTCGCAAGAGGGGACAACCGAGTGAGCCGAGAGCTACTGGAATCATGGTTTACTGGCCCCCAGTCCATCAACAAGTGCAACGATCTTCCCAT